GGCGAAATAGCATCTTTTTACTTTCTCGCTCCCCTAGGGTAGAGAGGAAGTATTGTTTTAAGTAAGTAGTGCTAAACGCCATTCAAAATTTTAATTTACCGTTCCCTCAGCAGAAAATTGCCGGGGAATAAATATAATATTGCCTTGTCTAGGAAAAACGTCAATTGAGCCTTCGGACGTAGTGGACATCCCTCGTATGGTTCCCCAAAATCAACATTCTGAATGATAATGTCTTTTTGCGTTAAACAACTCCCGTTTGTCGGCACGAAAACTTTTCTGCGCTGGCGTTAAAGTCTTTGAAGTTTTCGCCGCGCATTCGCCGTCTTGGCGATCGCTCCGGCGAACGGTGGATCGAGTCAATAGGAGAGGTCGGACAAAATCTGGAAACTCAAAACGCGTATAATTCCGTTCATACAAAATTTTCAGGTTCTGAAAGTGGTTCCATTGGTTTTCCCGTGAAATTTTCTTTTAGGAGCACCTCCTATAGTTTAAAATGTGACGAAATAAACATCAAAATTTGCAGTTTTAGCCAAAAATTTCATGTCCGACCTCTCTAACTGACTCGATCCACTGTGCGGCGGTTCAGCATGATCAAATTTTTAAGTGAGAAGTAATGTCTCCATGTGTCAAGAAACCCCCCTTTGTCGGCACGCATTCTTTTCTGCGCTGGCGTTAGAGTCTCTGAAGTGAATCCTGCATTTGATGCGATTTGGACGAATGCTCATAATTTTTACCCTAAAAAATCAGTGGCGTGGCGTGCTTTGAGATATATCGATTTATCTGCCATTTAAACCTATGAAAAAAGATCGATAGTCAGGGTGTTCGCAACTGACACCTTATAATAGATTCTTTACCATAGCTTAAAATGAGGATATATCGACAATCGATCATTCACGCCTCGCCACACTGAAAAAAAAAAAGTAGCTTGAATCAAGCATGATAATCCTTGAATTTGCCGCCAAGAATTTTCTTCATCTTGTTTTAAGCTGACTTTTTCTTGATTCAAGAAAAATAATTCTTGGGTTAAGCAAAAAAGTAGCTTATATTAACCAGCAAAACTCTTGATTTGAGAAGAAATACTTCTTGGCGGCAAATTTAAGATTCTTTTTTTCCAGTGCACTGTAAAAAATATCCCCTCCACTTGGTCCGATTCGCATCGAATGCAGGATCCACTTCCGAGATTTTAACGCCGGCGAAGAAAAGAAGGCGTACCGACAAACGGGAGTTGCTTGACACATGGAGACATTACTTCTTAAAAATTTGATCTTGCTGAACCGCTCATATTTTGATTTCCCAAAATTATGGAATTAACCCTTCCTACATGCCCAAGCCGGGTCAAAAGGACCCGAAGATCGCTGAAAACACGCGTCCCGCGGGTTTTATGGGGCCGGTACATCCGAATTTTAGATCAGTGGCGTGGCGTGAATTGCGATGTATCGATTGTTTTGCCATTTAAACCTATGGTAAAGAATCGATTATTAAGGTGTTCGCTGCGGACACCCTGTTTATCGATCCTTTTCCATAGGTTTGAAGGACATGACAATAAATATATCGCAAAGCACGCCCTGCCACTGTTTTAGATGTAGGTCTACACATCTTAAAAAATAATAAGACATCAAATTGAAAAAAATCAAATATCAACACAGCCGAAGATAGGGGGGATCTTTTTGGTCTGGTTTTTTAAACTTTTCTCCGAACCAGACGGACAGTTCATTTGCAGCCTAGAGAGCTCACGATTCACGCCACAGCGCCTTCATTATTCCAGACGCAACACGGACATTCATCAAGCACGAATAGTTGTACCCTTGCGCCTTGACAAACGCGTGACCTATCCTTTGCTCTATTTCCATGTTGTGTTGGTTCAGTTTGTTTTATTTGTAATAGTGCCTCAAAGGCTACGTTAGCAAAACAGCCGGAGATAGGAGAGATGTATTCGGGCCTTGTTTTTTACCTTCTCTCCTGAATGTGAGCGACACATCATTGACAGCATATAGCCGATCATTGCGAGCGAACGCATCGCGCCTTCAATTTTTCAGATACAACACGGACATCCATCGAGTACGAATAGTCGTATCTCTGCGCCGTCATCAAAGCGAGTCCTTTCTCTTGCTCTATTTCCATGTTTTGTCGACTTCGTTTGTCTCATTTGTAGCGGTGCTGAAAGGGCTTTACGTGAGCAACATAGCCCAAGTATGACTTTAATTGGATTAAATTTGTTGGCCAAATTAGGGATTGGGTAAAAAAAACTGGATGAAGTGTCTAGCTACCGCCTGCTCATACACGCTGCTCCTCCGCTCCACCGTGCTGAGGAGGAGTGTCATTATTATTTCTCCTTATCATTCACACGCTTTTTAGACGTAGGTGTAATTTTTGCAAACGGAATTCGCCAAAAAATCCACTAGTTTCCTATAGAAATTTCGTGTTTTATCGAAAGAAATAAGCAGCTTCCACTGGAAAAAAAACACATTTTATCTAGACTCCAGACTCTTAAAAACATTGACAAGAAAAAGGACTCTTGATTCTATCAGATTTGAGCTCCAATCAAAAGGAAATCCGCTCAAATTAAGAGGCTTGGTTCTTGATTTAAGCTTAAATCTGATTGAATCAAGAGTCATTTTTCTTGTCAATGTTTTCAAGAGTCTGGACTCTAGATCCAATGTGTTTTTTTCCCCAGTGGACGCTACTTATTTCTTTCGATAAAACACGAAATTTCTAGGAAACTAGTGGATTTTTTGGCGAATTCTGTTTGCAATAATTACATCCACGTCTAAAAAGCGTGTGAATGATAGGGAGAAATAATCATGACGCTCCTTAGCACGGTGGAGCGGGGGAGCAGCGAGTATGGGCAGGCGGTAGCCAGACACTTCATCCAGTTTTTTTTTACTCGATTCTTAATTTGGCCAACACAAATCAAATTAAAGTCATACTTGGGCTGTGTTGCTCACGTAGAGCCCTTTCAGCACCGCTACAAATCGTCGCCTACCTGACATAAGGGCGTAACTACAATCTGCGATGAACCCTGGGCTTCATACAATGCAATGCTTTTCCAGGCTCATCTCAATGTGTAGTTACGCCCTTATGTCAGCCAAGCGACGAAATGAGACAAACGAAGTCGACAAAACATGGAAATAGAGCAAGAGAAAGGACTCGCTTTGATGACGGCGCAGAGATACAACTATTCGTACTCGATGGATGTCCGTGTTGTATCTGAGAAATTGAAGGCGCGATGCGTTAGCTCGCAATGATCGGCTATATGCTGTGAATGATGTGTCGCTTAAAGTCGGGAGAGAAGGTAAAAAACAAGGCCCGATTGCATCTCTCCTATTCTCTCCCGGATTGGACATTTTGACTTTTGGACATTTTTTGGGGGACATTTTGACCTATCACCTCCACGGCCGGAGTTTTATTTCAGTGAAGAAAAATATTCAAAAATTTGTCCAAAAATTCGCGATTGGTCAAAGGAAATTTGGCAGTGTGAAGACTCATATGGCGTTTTTCCCTAGCACGACAGTGTTCATACGGCGTTTTTCCTTAGCACAACAGCAAGTTAGTGTCTTTGGTACTTGCTTGGCGCCAGCGAAGGCGCATGCATTCTCGCGGGCTCGCATCGTTATTCGGTTTCATATTTTCCGAACTCGCGGCCTCTTTTTGTGGGATCTGATATGAGCGGAATCGGCCCTTATCTTTCGTTCTTGGAATCTACTTTTTTTATAGGCTGGAGTCATTAACGACCTCTCAAAGCTCAAGTGTTCGAGTTCCGGCGTGACATTACTTTGAACGCTGTTGCGAGATCGTCATAGATGGATTACCAGTTAGGCTGTGAAAACAGAAGATGATTTCGTCCCGGGTTTTTGGTGTGGTCAATCGAATGGCTTAAGATGTATCGCATAGATCATGTTAAAAATTTTGCCAGATTTTGATTTTTCATCCTTTAAAAGGGACGAAGCTCCTGCGCAGTGCGCACTCGAGCATGAAAAATCGTAATAAAAAAAAAAAATCCAAAATTCAGTTATTTAGAGAAATGGAAGCAGAACTTTTCTCGGAAGAATTGTTGCATTCGATGCAGTAATCGATCTCTGTATGGAATTAAGTCGTTTTTTGTAGGAAGGAATTAAATATTTCGTATTTTTAACTAAACTTAATAGAATTGGACAACTTTTAATTTAATATCTTAAATCAGTGTATTTAGTTTCAATTATCTATACCAAGGTATACATAGAATTGATTTTCGGTTCACTTTATCTAGTTTTCTACTTTTTTGACTTTCCTTTCTCTGGGTTTTGCAATTTTTTTGATTGAACTATTTTCTTTTTAGGCCCATGCGCAAAGACTATCGCCCTTTTTTTTCTTTAGCTCACATGCAGGTCAAAATTTAATGAGATGTTTTTCCGTAATCAATGCGATATATCGCACGTCCGTTCAACCACTCCAAAAATTCAAGTTGTATCACCTTAATCGCCCTTTTTCCACCTCCTCTGCGTACGGTTACGCTGCAGCTTTAGGTTTCTCCATATCTTTAAGAACATTTTAAATGAAAGTAAGGAGAGAGAAACCATTAGTGTGAAGCTTCCTGACTTGAATTTTTCGAAAACAGAATTAATCAGATGGGGACACGTTGTTTACACTGAGACCTATTTCGCCTTCAATTTTCGCGGTAGACAAGAGAACAGTCTCCGTGTGGCAATTGATATCTACTCGGAGGTTTGTGTCTTGTTACGTCCAACAATTTTGCTCCTGAGTTCAACTAAACCTGAAAATTTTAACTCTGGCTCTGTTTTTGTACTCATGTCCCTGTAAGTTGCTAGTAAATGTAAAATAGAGAAAATTAATATTTAATTTACTCCCAAATTTCTTTGGGAAACAACGGTTCTTCCGCGTTTATCCCTAGAAGTTGCAAGTCGAGACCAAACTGCTCCAGGATGAGTTCGGATCATGAAGGTTTCGCATATTACAGGTTTATTTCTTAAATTTCTTATTTTTTGCATATTTTTATGTTTCAGCTTCAAAGTTAATCACATTTGGTCGCAACCTTCGACAGTGCGTCATTATCATGAAATGGATCGAAAGTGAAGTCTTCCTGAGGGAACCGCGAAGGATGTAATTTCTGTTGATCTCACTTTGACACTTCTCTGCTTTCAACTCAGCCGGTGAGTACAATTAAATTTTTCTTTTCCGCTCTATGTGCATTCTTTTTTCGGGCGAGGGCTAACTTTTGAATTCCAAGAGAATTCTTAGTATCCACCTACTCATCATTAATGCATACGGAGTTGGGCTCAAGTCCTTTACGTCAGTTTCTTATTATAGATCGCAGTTGCAAAAATCAAACATTGTATAACGTTAATTTTCGCGTTCGCACCTTTGCAGCTTTAATTCTATTTGTACCGAAGAGATACATTTCAGTATTACTTAAATAGCTGAAATGTGCTCCTAGCTGTGATAAATCCGTTGTTTGCACGCGTTGATCGTTAAAATCAAAATTGAAGTGAAACCAACATTTTAGCGAAAGTTTTTCGATATCCCGAAGTTTATTTAGGTACTTTCGGTTTATAGTTGCAACCTGTTTTTATACTTGCAGAGCTGAGTAGGTATGCTAATATATTTTCCCGCAAAATAAGGGTCATATTCACAGACGATCGTTAAACAGCCCCTATCCTTACAAGGCTGTATGTGGGGTGGTTTACACCGTGATGAAGGGAGGTTTAAGGAGATCCTTAACGCAACATTAAGGAAGGACATTTTTGCAAACCTCGAGTATGATTCAGCAGTATAATTTGGAAATAGATTAATGCAATGGATTAACATGATTTGCCACCACCAAACCATAGAATTAAAAGGAAGAAAAGAGTCCTTAACATTGACAAACTTTAAGGTATCTACGAACCTAAGTACCTACAAATTTACGGAACTCACAATGTATTTTCTTTCGTATTTTTTATATTTTTTGTCATGGCAAATCTTTGTAACTCCTTGCACGGATCTGTTTTGAAAGTTATAATGCTGAATTTTCCTAGAGATTGCCCTAAATTGTCCTTAAGGACATCAATTAAATTAATTAATTAAATACCTAATTAATTAATCCTCCGCGGAACGCCTCGTCAAGGTTCTTTTCGCCTTGAGCCAACCTCATAGGAAGGAGCCGTTTAAGGAACGATAATGAATACAGTCCATAACCTCAGAAAATCTTCCTTGCATGCCATAACTGACCCGAGCTCGTGAATCATCGATTCTTAATCACCCGTTGGATAGTTCGCAACCGAGGAGATGGATGCGCGCAAATTAGCCGGGGAAAGTCCCGAATCGCGATTTGCGGTGCAGGTGGTGCAGGGATCTTTTGTGGTGACGGGCGGGTGGAGGGAGAGAGCTCGTGGAAATCAGCGTCGCATTTTTACTCCGAGATGCTGTGCAACCCTTATTATGCGTCATCCTACGGGAAAACACCCTTCGAACACTCGGACGGTGCCAAATTTCTGCTGATAATTGCGGATTTCCCGCAAAACTCATTACATTTTTCCCCAGACTTTTCTAAAGAATTCGACTGGAGTTGTATCAAGTGTAGACGAACATTTCTAAAAGCTGTTCAAATCAGGGTCGTAGTGCCACGAGGAGTTCTGCCGTGCTAAGGAAGAACGCCGTATGAGCCATCAGGCGTTGCCAAATTTCCTTCGGTAAAACACGAATTTCCTGGTAAACATATGAATATTTTTCTTTCAATTTTGCATATAATTTTGTTCGCAATTTCACCGAAAGTTTCTAAAAATTTCAAGGGAAAATATTCATAACTTGCCACAAAAATAAACATTTTATCGAAAAAAATTTGGCAACTCTTGAATGTTCATGCGGCGTTCTTCCTTAGCACGACAGACTTGGAAAACCGGGAAAATTCGGAAATGATTACCGACCGAATGGTAAATAACCCCTTTTCATATCCCTAGTCATTACCTTATTCAATGAATATTTATATCCCAATTACTCATTTTCTGAAACTATTCAATTTTAATCATCTAAGCTTTCTTAAGCCGACTGTTGGTAGTTACCACACACTGGTCCTTTAAAGTTGCGGAAAGTAATTGTTGTTAAATAAATGTTTCTCACTGGAGAAAAAGTCTCTTGGATCCAAAGTTCGATATCGAAAAAAATTTGACACGAAGAAATACTTTTGATCTGATTTCTGCTTCTGCAATCTGATTTTTGCTTGAATCAACGGGAACTTCCCTTCGATTAAGAGGCTTGGCACTCGATTCAAGCAAAAGCCAATTGAATAAAGAGTATTTTTTTTGTAAAATTTTTTCAGAGTCTGAACTCAGGATCCTACGAATAAGAACTTTGTTCCAGTGTAACATTTAATAAAAATAATTCCTGCAGATACTTAAAACATAGTGCAAGTAAGGGAACCCTTAATTTAAAATCCTGAAATGTCAATTTTAAGCCCAATTTTCAAACTGAAAAGGGGTTTTTGTAAGAAAAATTTCGTTGCTTAAGTCGGGAAATTTTGGTATAGGTTTTTTTTTTTTTACTTAAAAATTTATTTTTTTTTAAAGTAAAACTTGAAAAATCAGAAACATCAGGGAAGTTTGTCGTGCAACTAAACTTGCAAACCTGAATGTTTTCAACTTTTCTCAAAAATAAATATTTTTATCAGGGTGGATTTGGCAATATTTGAATGATCACGCGGCGCCGGCCGGCAAGCGTTCTTCCCGAAAGAAAATAAGGTTGCGTAGCCATATCCTGTGTTCTTCCTAGCCCATACCTCCTAGCGAGGCTGTAATGTAGCACGCCTGCACGCACTCTCCACGCACGTGTGGGGTTGCTGGTCGTCAAAATCATTTCACCGCTCATAAGCGCGGGTGTACACTGTACAGGGTGTTCCAGATACAGAGTTAAACAGTCGACTGTAGAAGCACGTGTCATGGACCAAAATATGACTATCTTTTCTGCTACCTAGGAAAGGAAAAACGCCGTAAAAACATCAGGGGGTTGCCAAATTTCTCCGGATAAAACATGTGATTTTGGGAAAAATTGTCCCTATTTTTCCTTATGATTTTCAGCTATTTTAGATTAAATTGCGAACGATAATTTCGAAAAATTTGAGGGAAAACTTACACAATTTTTCTTAGTAAATCCGTTTTTTTCAAATCGAGGAAACATCGCATCGTCTGAAGGCTCACTCGGTGTTTTCCCTTAGTACTGTCCTCCTATTTTTTGGGAGAATCGTCAGATTTTTCTGTATTTCATTCGGCAACGTACATTATGTTCAAAACACATGAAAAATTGCTACACCTGAAATATTTACCCCTGAAATTACTTTTAGCCTGAATCAGCACTGAAAAAAAAGTAGCTTGGATCAAGGATGATAATTCTTGAATTTGCCGCCAAGAATTTTCTTTATCTTGCTTTAAGCTGACTTTTTCTTGATTCAAGAAAAATAATGCTCGGGTTAAGCAATAAAGTAGCTTATATTAACCAGGAAAATTCTTGATTTAAGAAGAAATACTTCTTGGCGGCAAATTTAAGATTCTTTTTTTCCAGTGGGTGGCGTGGCGTGTTTTGCGACTTATCGATTGATCTTCAATTTAAACCTATGGAAAAGGATCGTTAAACGGTGTGTTCGCAACGAGCACCCTTAATAATCGATTCTTTACCTTAGATTCAAATGGGGAAATATCGGTTATCGATCGTTCACACCTCGCCACTGATCTGAAAGTATGATCATCTCGAGTTAGCGGAAGCGCAAGAGGAATATCACTGTCATTCGTCCAAAAACTCGATGTTTTTAAACCCTGCTCCCTGAGGACCTATGGATTCTATCGAAATAAATCGGATGGAAACTAAAATCGTGAACCGACCGACAAAATAAAACCTTTATTGATCGACAGTGACTCGATCGTTAACGATTCAATTGTAAATTAATTAAAAAAAAAAAAAAAAAAAAAAAAAAAAAAAAAGTGTTTAGATTTGATCTTTTTGAATCTATACACCTTCCCTCCCTGAAACCACCTGAACCTTACCCATAACTTGAGATTCTGATATTTTGGAGACCATGGATGAATCAGCGGTATCAACTGGACCCCATTTTGCAATGAGGAACCATTATTTATGGCTCATTTTAGAAATAACATAGGTATATGCTATTGATTTCCCGAAGCAGAGAGGTGCTTTTATGGAAAAGCCAGAGCTAGTGGTTCCGTAGTGCAAAATGTAATGCAACCATTGGATTGAGGCATATTTGGACTGCATTTTGCTATTTGGAACTATAATTTCTGGCTCCCCTGGAAAAACACTTGTGTGCATAGGGAAACTAATGGCACATACGTTGTTTTTAAACCGGGCTAGAATTTATAGATCCAAATAGCAAAATGTAGTCCATTTCGTCGTTCCTCTGACGTAAGGACATATCTCGATTCTCGCATGAGCTCTAGGAAGCATGAATTCATACGCAAAACAGGGCTCATGCGAAAACTGAGATACGCTCTTTCGCCAGAGGAGCGACGATTTGATGAGTTTTGATCCGTATTCCTTCTCAAAATTCAGAAAAAATATTTTATTTCCGAAACTGACGGAGAGTAGCGCCGGAAAAAAACAGTTGTAAAAAAAATCATATATCTTTAAAGGAAAAATTGGATCGCATTTAGCAAAAAGGAACCAGCGGGACTACGGTGTTTGCAAACTCGCGCAACTTCTTCTATGCTCTTGGAAATACAATAAATGTAGGGTACTAAAATGTACACTATTATTTTCCTTTAAAATTAACAGTTTCTTTAGTGGCATTTGCTTTCTTGGGAGATTGTTCAGATAACTATGAAAAAACAAATTTTTAGCAACACTTTAATCGCGCTGGTTCCTTTTTGCTGAATTCGATCCAATTATAATGTTCACGCACAGGACACGCTTCTGGGGTCTGGCCTTTTAACAATAGGATACCCTGTATCCATTTCCGAAGGAGCCACGAAGTTGCGAGTTTCGGAGTCGTTTCCTTGGTAATAATTCATACTGAGTAGAGCAATACGTGTGACAGATAGTAAGAAAATGAATGAAAATTCGGCGGATTTCGGTCAGCCTGAAATAAAGCCCAACGTAACGCGTCGCCTGTTTAATTTTTCGTCTAGGCATTGCACAGCGCTTAGTTGCCGAAGCTTGCCTCTAAGTCGAT